AGGAGGAGCCAGAGGAACCTGCTTTTTCCAGATTATCTGTTTTATGTACTACTGTCAGGATATAGGGAAATCTTCAGCAAACATTACAGAAAGTTTATTTTAGAAAAGTGACCTAGTGCAGCTTTAATGTATCTGTGATCCTTTCCCACAGTCAATTACAAAACTAATCAAAGACAAATGAACAGTATTCCTCTGATCTGTGGAGATAACCCTCCATTAAACTCCATTCAAAGGTCATGCAGTTTTGACCCGATTTTTTTTTTGTCCAAAGTAGAGAAGGTATTCTTTAATGTTTAGAGCAAATGTAAATTGTAGTGAACATATATTTTGATTAGTGTTAACGTGCTGTTACGGTACGGGACTGTCATCCGTGCCATCTACGTAAACAGAACGACAGATGACAATTTATCTTCCAGGTGGGATATATGTAGGCCAAATTCACCTGCGAGGCCTACAGATTCCTCACATTTATTCCCTTATGTTAATAATGGAAGATGGTATATAAAACAGGATTAAACTGCCTGATGGTCTCAGTGATGTTATCAACACTTCTACAATAGAGAACTGTCGACAGGTCAGCACGGAATTCTTCATTCATCTGACACCTCTTACTTCCAGGCTCGCCTGGATCGGCTCACTTACTTGAGACCCAGGTCGTGTAGATGTTGTCCTATCAGCCTGATGATGTCCTCCTCGGACTGAGACAGACGCTTCTTCTTCTTCACGGCCAAGTTGGCCTCAGCCGTGCTGTTGCTGTTGTTGGCGGAGGGCTGGGCTGACACTCCGTTGTTATTGCCGACACTGGTTCCATTGTTGGTGACTGATAGTCCGTTGGAGTGAGCTAACCCGGCGGAGGACGACTCACCGTTCGGCGCACCGTTTCGGCAGGACAGTTCGGAATCTCGGTCCTGTCCTGCCCCGTTAGCCTGCATGTTATTCCGGTTTATACAGCAGACACGGTGTATGTAGAAACGAATGACAGACGCAACGGGATACTGCGGGGATAACAACCACCGTTACAGCCGCCGACAGGCCCACTGACCCAGATGCAGCCCCGAACTGCCCTGTTCCCCCTGCGGCCGAGTCTCCGTGTGTGTTTCGCGGCGGTGGCAGCAACGACAACCCGGTTTTCAACTCGGACGACGAACGAGCGTTATTCCGACAGCGGCATTTTGTGAAATTTGGTAATATTGGCCGCTGTCAGGTACCGTTAAAGCCGCGTTAAAGTTGTTGGGTAGAGCTTGTTATTGTTGCTCTCAGACAGCTGCAGCCCTGTTATGGACATACGCAGTGACGTCAGCGGAAATTCCTTCACGTATTTTTGCGCGCACTGCGTAGCAGGCAGGGGGCGCTGTCTGTCTGTTTTCAGGCTTGACCTACAGTCACCTTTAATGTCCACAGAAGAAGAAGAAGAAGAAAAAGAAGAATAATAATAATTTAGGCCTAAATTAAAAATAACAAAATAATATGTTCATCAATTTATGTAAACTCGTTGTTATTCACCTCACCTCTTGTGTTTGTTTGTGGGTTATGCTACAATTTTGTAGTGAAAAGACTAAATTAAAAATACTTTTTTGCAAACCTTTGTAGGGGCAAAAGTGATCAAGCAGGTAAACACATTCAGGAGGCACAGAACTGTTGGCTAAATGAGCCAATGAATTGAGAGATCTTATTGGCAAGGGGATTTTGCTTTCTTAAGCTTCCTCAAGAAATAAAGTTGTTTCTGTGATTTCTGAACCAGGGTGGAATGTGAGACCATGACTGGTTCTTTATCGTGTTGATTCCCAGGACCCTGAAACTGTTCACCTGCTCCACCTCAGCTCCACTGATGTAACAGAGGAATGTGTCTTATTTATAGTCTATATTTACTTTAAATTACAATAAAGCTCTATACATTTGTCCTGTGCAATACGATTTATTTCAGATCAGATTAACAATCTTTTTTTTTTTTTTTCAATTTCAATTCTGAAAAAATAAATAAAATCTAATGACCAAAAGATACACTGACCA